GAGTGCTCCCTGGAAGGGGAGTCCAGGCCTCTGGCTCTGACGGAGGGGCGCAGGGTCCCAGACCAGAAGCAGCAGCTCCACACCCAAAAGGCTGGGGAGGGGCTGGGGCCTGCGGGCAGATGCCGAGGGAGTAGGGGCTGAGGAGGTGGGAGCCAGGAACAGAATGGAGGTGGTGGCGACAACAGTGACGCAGGGGCCTGGGGAGGCACTGACGTGGTGATGGAGGTTCAGACTGCTGCAAACAGCTTCTCATTCTGCCAGAATGTAACACCCCAAAATAAGCAGTCACCACGGCGGCGGCGGCGGCGGCGGCAGGATCCGATGTGAGGCCCGGAGATATAAATGGCAGCATGGAGCCAGCCAGGGTGCCCACCCTCGGAGGCTGCCACCCCACTCGCATGTCCTCCCCTCCCCCACACAGCCACCGCACGAGGCCCTGAGCTCTGAACCCCGGGTCTGGCCCACCGACCACTCCCTGAGAGGAGGGATGTGCCGGGCAGGTGCTTTGGGAGTGGAGGGCTCCCCACGTGGAACTGGTTACCAGCAGCCTCTTTGTCTCATCCCCAGGCAGTGCACCCCCATCCCTTTCTCTTTCTCCTTTCCAGCCCCCACCCCCACCCTGATCAACCCCCAGCCCCGCTCCCACCTATGGTTCCGCGTTCCCCACCCTGGCACTCATTGCGACCAGTCGTCTTCCCAGTTTCTGACACCCCATCTCTATCCAGCAACCCCATCCTCCTCTGGTTCCGGATCTCCCCACTCCCCTTTCCTTCCAGGTACCCAGGTCCCAGCCTCATGTTCTTCCCCATTCCCCCACCGCCAGGTTCCGGTGCTTGTCCCTAGTCTTCTCTCCATCCCTCCCCTAAGCTGGTCTTCCCTCTGCGTCCCTCTTCCTCAGTGCTCACCTGGGTCCCACTTCTCTCCACGGTTTTCCCGTCTAACCTTTCTTCCTCCTCCTCCTCCTCCTCCTCCTCCCCTGTCCACCCCCTCCACTAACCACTTTCTCCGTCGTTGACTGCCCCGCTCCTCTCCTCTTCCCTTCCACCCTTTATGCACCCCGCCCCCAGTCTCTGGCCCACACCCTTGGCTGTTACTCAATCCGCGAAACTATCCCCTTTCCAGCGCCCTCCATCTGTCCTACGGCGCGGGGAGGCGGGGGGCGGCGATTAGGATTTCCCTCCGAGCCCCCATCCTCCCAGGCAGCCCCCTACCCACATTCCCCGTCCTCCCAGGTGACTGGAAAGTGCTGAGGCACTGGGCACGCGGAGTTGCTGAGTCGGCGCTTCCCCAGCCGGCCCGAGTCCTCAGCGTCCCCAGGAGCAGGTGGAGCCGGGACAGCGGAACCTGAGCCTCCCTCCCCGCTCCAGGCCCGGTCCTCATGCCCCCTGCGTCCGCCTGGGTCACGAGCTCCCCGCACATCCTGGCGAGCTCAGAGCCGGGTGCGTTCTTTCAGCCTGCAGCCTAGGGGGCGGGGGCGGGGCCCCGGGCTAAGCCTTTCCCCCTCGCCAGGCTACCCCCACCCCCCGCGACTGCCTCACCCTCGCGCCCCGGGGTGGTGGAGTGGGGAGAGCTCGGTTTCCCTCTCCAGGATGCCCTCTGCCCTCCGGCGGACCGGGGTCCCTACCTTGCAGCAGGCGCCCGAGCCCGGGCAGCATCTTGTCTCGACGCTCGGCGGAGGGGGCAGCGGGGGGAGGGCGCTCCCACTCGCTCCCTGAGCCCGCCAGACGGACGGCGGGAACTCCGCGGGGCTCCGGGAGGGCCCGGGAGTTCCCGGGCAGTAAGACAGGGCCGCGGGGCTCTACCCTGCGCCCCCCGGGTTGCGGGCCTCTGGAGGAGCCATCGGCCTCGACGGGACGGGGCGGAGCGCGACTGGGAGGGGAAGGCTGGAGCTGGCCGTCGGTGCCCGGTGCCAGCTACCCCCAGCAGCGCAGGCGGCGCGCGAGTCCGTCAGTCCGTGAGTCCGTGCGCCCCGGCTGCGCGCCGAGGGAGAGTGGGGACAGCGAGGATGCTCTTCCCAACCACCCCCACTCCTTCCCGCACTCGCTGGCTCCTCCCTCGCTTCCCGGCTCGCCGACTTAACCCCTTCCTGGCCACTAGGAGGCGGGAGAGGTTCTCTAGCCTCCTCCATCCTGGCCCCCTCCCGTCCTTGGGAGACCCGAAGGACTGTGTTCTGTCGTCTTCTGATCGCCACGCTTCCAGAGAAACCCCTTCCAAAGGGGGCGTAGTAGTGTAAGGAAGCCCCGTGGACTTGTCCGGTTCCCCCCTCCCAACTTTCCCAGAGGAGACGGACTCCCTGGTCACCTCCCCGTCCTCGCGACGTCCCCGGCGCCAACGTCCAGGCTTCCGACATTTCTGTCCCCTGGGAGAGCTCCAAGATTACACTTTCTTTTCCTAGACCCCAAGTTCTCAGAGTCTGCCACTATATAATAGTAAATGCAAGAGTTTGAGTGTGCAAGATGGAGTGCATAGGAGCGTGCGCGCACGCTCAAGGACGCTTGGGCAGGTGTGCCTCTGAGTGCTTGCATGCTACTTTTTATACGCCCAGGGAAGCGGGGGGCACGTGAGTGTGCGAACGGGTGAGCTGCTGAGTGCCCGCCCGCGGGCGTGTCTGCGCTGGTGGGAAACGCGAGGCTGTGCAAGAGTCTGGCCGATCGAACTTGAGCAGAGACGGCCATGGTACATGTGTCCGAGTGTGTGTACGCCTCTTAATTCACTTGCGAGCGGGGGCACGTTTGGGTGCGCGTGTGAGTCCGTGCATTTTTACGTGTATGTGTGATGTATCCTAAAGGGGATATCTCGTCCCCCGCGGGGGGGATAGAAGAGGACTCGAAGATGGGGAAGGGAGAGTTGGCTTCAGGCGAGCTGCTTCCTCTTCTTTTTAAAGAGGGGTGCGTTCTGGTCTCAACCGGCCCCTCATGGCTGTGTTCGGGGACGGGATACCGGCCGACCCCGTGACCTAATGGTCTGATAAAGGCGCCAATGCCGATCGCGCTGGCCTTGACACGGCCCCGTGCGCCCGGAGGCCGCCACAGCGCGGGATAGGTGCAGGGCCCTTGGGGACACCGCTTTGGGGACTGGCCAAGCGGGCTGGGGCCGCGGGAGAGGCGCGAACGGCTGGGGCCAAGGCCGTCTCAGCCGCCAT